GTTACTTATTTTTAACATCGTTCAAGCGGACATTCCATGCTCTTATAAATAAGTGCGCGAACAAACAAAGGTTACTATGGAGGAAATAATCAGCAAGGTAACATGATTATAACTAGGGAATGCAATACCGGTATACCGTCCGAATTTTCGGCGGTATTAATACCGGTACTTATCTTAAAATTAGGGGGCGTTCATTAATCACGTGAAGTTTTAGGGGCAGGGGGGTTTGACAAAAATTCACAAAATATCACCTGAGGGAGGGAGGGGTATAGTAAGATATCACGTGTATTATTATTTTTCTAAAAAAGAATTCAAATTTTTTCAAATTATACAATTTTTCACGTGACTAAAAATACACTTGATGTTTGTTGAGGGAGGGTGGTGATCTTGAATGTCCCCATGTATCACCAAGGGAAAGGGGGTTCCAAAAATCCTTAAAAAGTTGCTCACGTGATCAATGGACGCTCCCTTACCAGCATTTTCAGTATTATACATAAGCGCTATTTGATACATATTAAGTAGGGCTTATACAAAAACCGACATTTCAGAAAACCGGTTTTCGAATTTTAATTTTGCCAGAAAACCGGTTTTAACCGGTTTTCGAATTTTATATAAAAAATAAATTTTTGCTCCAATATTCTGTTAATAACAAAAATTTATCCACAAATTTAGTGCGATTTTAAGCAGTATTTGATTGAAATTATTTATTGTTAAATTTTATGGATAGTAAACAAAATTATTTTAATTTTAATTTGTAGATCAAAAATAGTTATATAATAGTTTATATGGATTAAATAATTTTGAAAATAATTATTCGTTATTCATGCATTATTTTCACATATAACAATATAAATATTTCTATGATTGTGAAAGGAAATTTTGAATTTTTGAATAAATGAAACAATTTAAAATAAAAAAAAACATTTATTTAATTTAAAAAAAAATTAGATACATCCTTGATAATATCAATTTTAGTTTTAAAAACAATTAAGCTAAGCCGCGAGTATTTTCTATTTCGAGTAGTATCAATGAATTAATTTTAAAAATTCTAATTATTTTTTTGATTGATAAAATGTGATTTCAAAAATATTTAAATATCTTCGATTTCCTTTACTAGTGCATTCATCTATAGTTATAGAAAATTTTTGTCCTTTATTTTTCATACAGTTTATTTCATTTTATAGTTTCATGTTTTATAGATTCGTAAAAGTTGTAAATAAGTTCCATAACCCTAGAATTATTCTGTGGTAAGCAATAATTCCGTTTTTGTAATGACTCTCTTATAAACGAGCTATTTGTTATGCAATTAATTGATAGTCCATCTAATGCAGCGAGCTTTGACACTATTTCTTCTAAACTAGTTTTTTCACAAAATTAAAAATACGTGGTTGTGTACATGTTTGTAAAGTCGAGCCGGCATCCGACAATTTTTTCCGGTTTTTTATCGTGTACTGTTTTCAAATGATTATGTAAATTGCTTGTGCTTGATCCTTTGCAAGAAAGCATTTAATTGCAATAAATACAACGCGCTTTTTCTTTGTCTACTTTTTTTTAAATAATTCCATTCCAGCCTGACATTTTAGACTACAAAAATATAAATAGTTTAAATAATAATATATATTTTTATAATAATAAAATATGTTAACTACTTACATTTTGTATTATATCTGTATCAAATATCGATCAATGGCACTGAACACTGAATACTGAACTTATAAACTGCACATAAAGAAACAAAAAGTCCATTGGTCTGAATTAATATAAACACTCGTATAAACATTAGAATTAATATATACATTAGACAAAAGATAACACAAAACCTTTCTGGGAACCATAGCAGACTGATAAGATTCCAAACGCTATTGAACCGATATGATTCCAAGAATCAAAACGCTGCATCGCATTTTATATTAGCCTATATTTGTCATTTTCCATAACGACTTTTTTTACTAAAAAACCGGTTTTCGAATTTCATAAATTTTGTCAAAAAACCGGTTTTTAAAACCGGTTTTTGAAAACCGACAAACCCTAATATTAAGGCCTGTTCATACGACGCTTGATTCGTTGCTTTTTTGATCGGCTGGCTAGAATGCTGGTTATCAAGTAGGCAAAATGACGGGTTATCGATCTCCATTTGTTTCCAACAACTGAGATTTTGATATTAGAACATGCGCTATTTTTGTGGGCGGATCATAGAGCTATGAAAAAAGCCCGAATCACACATTTGTTTTCTGGGCTGGCCACGCAGCATGCTTGATTTTTAAGTGTGATTTGTTTTAGCCTGCTTGATTTCTGAGTGTCATTTGTTTTGGCTTGCTTGATTTTTGAGTGTCATTTGTCTTTGCTTGCTTAGTTTTTGAGTGTCATTTGTTTTGGCTTGCTTGGTTTTTGAGTGTCATTTGTTTAGGCTTGCTTGATTTTTGAGTGTCATGTTTTGGCCTGCTTGGTTTTTGAGTGTTATTTGTTTTGGCTTGCTTGATTTTTGAGTGTCATTTGTTTTGGCTTGCTTGATTTTTGAGTGTCATTTGATTTGGCCTACTTGATCATTGAGTGTCATTTGTCTTGGCCTACTTGATTTTTGAGTGTCATTTGTTTTGGCTTGCTTGATTTTTGAGTGTCATTTGTTTTAGCCTACTTGATTTTTGAGTGTCATTTGTTTTGGCTTGTTTGATTTTTAAGTGTCATTTGTTTTGGCTTGTTTGATTTTTGAGTGTCATTTGTTTTCGCTTGCTTGATTTTTGAGTGTCATTTGTTTTAGCCTACGTGATTTTTGAGTGTCATTTGTTTTGGCCTACTTGATTTTTGAGTGTCATTCGTTTTGGCTTGCTTGATTTTTGAGTGTCATTTGTTTTAGCCTGCTTTATCTTTGAGTGTCATTTGTTTTGGCTTGCTTGATTTTTGGGTGTCATTTATTTTGGCTTGCTTGATTTTTGAATGTGATTTGTTTCGGCTTGCTTGATTTTTGAGTGTGATTTGTTTTATCCTGCTTGATTTTTGAGTGTCATTTGTTCTCAGCCTGCTTGATTTTAGAGTGTGATTTGTTTTGGTTGCTTGATTTTTGAGTGTCATTTGTTTTGGCTTGTTTAATTTTTGAATGTCATTTGTTTTGGCTTATTTCATTTTTGAATGTCATTTGTTTCGTCTTGTTTGATTTTTGAGTGTCATTTGTTATGGCTTGTTTTGTCATTTGTTTTAGCCTGCTTGATTTTTGAGTGTCATTTGTTTTGGCTCGCTTGATTTTTGAGTGTCATTTGTTTTAGCCTGCTTGATTTTTGGGTGTCATTTATTTGGCTTGCTTGATTTTTGAGTGACATTTGTTTTAGCCTGCTTGATTTTTGAGTGTCATTTGTTTTGGCTTGCTTGATTTTTGAGTGTCATTTGTTTTGGCTCGCTTGATTTTTGAGTGTCATTTGTTTTAGCTTGCTTCATTTTTGAATGTGATTTGTTTTATCCTGCTTGATTTTTGAGTGTCATTTGTTTTTAGCCTGCTTGATTTTAGAGTGTGATTTGTTTTAGCCTGCTTGATCTTTGAGTGTCATTTGTTTTGGCTTGCATGATTTTTGGGTGTCATTTGTTTTGGCTTGCTTGATTTTTGAGTGTCATTTGTTTTAGCCTGCTAGATTTTTGACTGTCATTTGTTTTGCTTGATTTTTGAGTGTCATTTGTTTTGGCTTGCTTGATTTTTGAGTGTCATTTGTTTAGCTTGCTTGATTTTTGAGTGTGATTTATTTTATCCTGCTTGATTTTTGGGTGTCATTTGTTTTTAGCCTGCTTGATTTTTGAGTGTGATTTGTTTTAACCTGCTTGATTTTTGAGTGTCATTTGTTTTGGCTTGCTAGATTATCAAATATTATACAACACATGACCAAATGCTGCTTCCCTATTGGCTCGAACGAACAAATCCATCTACAAAAATTGCGCATGTTCTAACTTTTCCATGATGACATTTTGCCGACTTGGCAACCAGCATGCTAGCCAGCAGATCAAAAAAGCAACGAAACAAACCTCGTGTGATTAGAGATTTACTAGCGTTCTTTCATGCAGTTCTTTCCGTTGACGGTTTTTCCTGTCAGATTACCAAAGGGAAAAAAATCTGTTGATCACCCACTAACACAAACTGTTTCCTACCATCTTTCTTGTCGTATTTTCCTGTTAGACTTGTCATCTCACATTCATGAGGAAAATAATCCTGTTACAGCACACTAACGTAAAATATATTTTCTGCAATCTTTCTTCCTAAAAGTGGATCTGTACGGAAAGCATGTTGGTTAGTGTGTAAATTTATCATTTTTAGACACATCTATCCTGACGATCGATCACTTTACTTTTGACAAAAGGATTTTGCTAATTGTGAAACGATAAATTTACAGAGTGTATAGTGCTGAGTACTAGTGCGGTTATATAAAAAAATATTAAATAATTTTCTATTTTGCATTATTATTATTTATGGAAAGAAGACGAAGAATTATTGCTATCACATGTGCTGGGTTAGTAAGTGAAGGCTTCGTTTTTAAGCAACAAAGAAAAAAGAAAAGACGTGCCTGGTCCAAAACATGGTTACTGCAACGAGCGAAATACGGCGATATGAAGCTTTTGAAAGAACTAAAAAGAAATGAACCCGACGATTTTAAAAATTACCTAAGGATGAGTGCAGACGTGTTTGACAAGTTGTTGAAATTAGTTGGCCCATATATACAAAAACAAAATACTCAAATGAGAGATAGTATACCAGCAGAAGAGCGACTTATTGTAACGTTAAGATTCTTAGCTACTGGAAGAAGCTACGAATGTTTAAAATTCAGTAGTGGCATTTCTCCGCAATCATTAGGTCGCATAATTCCCGAAACATGTAGAGTCATCTATAAAGTTCTGCAAAAGGAATATATGAAAGTAAGTACAATACCTTGTGCAAAAAGTCCTCTCTTTATTTTAACAAATACAAATAAACTAAAAAACTCATCCTAATTATAACAAGAAAACGTAAAAAAATTATATAATTGTTATTCACGACCTGCTGAGGAAAAATAAGCTCGCAAACCTCCCATAGGGCTAACATTTTCAGCAGGAGTAGATTCCGCTGTGGAATAATTGTTTGATAGGGAAGGAGACGGAAAGGAATTAGACGCTAATGAGGAATGGGCCGAGGACCCTGGCGACACATGAGAAAAATTATTAGAAGGATAAAGTCCTACATTACTGTAGGTTACATCTACGAATTCATTCAATTGACCCATTATTGCCTTATTAAGTACTTTAGTTAGCAATGCTTCAGCATACATCTTTTGTTCTGGGTTTACGACTTTTTCCAATTTTGCACTTATGTATTGACCCAGGGCATCATTTTCTGTTGGTTTGGAGTTTAGTGCCTCAGTACACTTTGCAAGAAATAATTTCCGCTCCCTGTCTTCACAGATTTTTTTGTTTTGTGCAGGGCTATGACCGTCTGCATTCCTATATCTCTTGTTGTTGGTGTTAATATTAGTATTAACCACTGACTCTACATTATGTGCTATTCCCTAAAAAATATTTATATGTTACATACTTCGAAGATAAGTTTTTACTTTTTTAACACATATAACTTTATTTTTAGTTTCCTACTACTACAGCAGAATGGAAGAAGATTGCGGAAGATTTTGATACCCGTTGGCAATTTCCTAACTGTGGCGGAGCAATGGATGGCAAACATATTAGAATCGCATGTCCGCCAAACACAGGAGCACTTTACTATAATTATAAAAAATTTTATAGCATTGTGTTGATGGCATTAGTAAATGCAAATTACGAGTTTGTTTATGCTGATGTCGGAAAAAATGGAAGAAATTCAGATGGTGGTATTTTGGAATACACTAAGTTTTATGACAAACTTATCAACGATCAGTTAAATATACCACAAACAGTAGATAACATCGAGCATCTCAACTTCGTTTTTGTGGGAGATGAGGCGTTTGCCTTGCATTCACATATTTTGAAGCCATTTAGTCAAGTGGAATTGACCTATGAAAAACGAATTTTTAATTACCGATTATCCAGGGCTAGAAATGTTGTTGAGAATGTTTTTGGACTTGTTGCTTCTCGATTCAGAGTGCTTCATACCGCAATTGCCTTGAAACCGGAAAACACAACATTAGTTATAATGGCAATTTGTGCTCTGCATAATTTTTTGCGGCGCAACAGTGCATCATATTTCAGTCAGAAAAGTGTGGACTCGGAAGATAAAAGCTCTCATGAACTACGCAAAGATGGGGATTGGCGAACTGATACTGGTGACTTTTATGGACTGCAGAATTTAACTCGTAATATGACTTTGGAGGCAAAACGCAGCCGCGATAGATACCTCCATTACTTCAACGGTGATGGTAGTGTTCCTTGGCAACATGCAATGGTGGCAAAAGGGAAAGCATAATCAAGAAATATATTGGTTTATGAGTAGAAATTTATAATAAGATTTTTCAATTACCTATCTAATTTTGTAATAAAAATGAATGATAAAATGATTGTAATGAACATACTTCGTTGGTTTCATTGCCTTCGTTGGGCTCGTCTATTTCCTCCACAGGTTCTTGAAATGGGCTATTTGTTGACTCATTGATGTTGTCACAACTACTGGTTGGTAGTTCATGATCTACTAAAAACATCAATAACTTGAAATACCACAAATGTGATTTATAATGTTCGTCAACACCTCTGCCTGATCGCTTTGACTTTTCGACCTTTAAATAATATTAAACTATTTACTATTTTGCACCCTTTTGGGACAGCTATCTATGTATAACTACGAGTATTAACAAGTGTATACTTGCCTTTTAAATTCTTTGCGGAAGGATCCTCTAATTGATTGAATTTTTTGTTTTACTGTTTTGTGGTCAGCATGTGAATCGTACTTTCTCCAAATCTTTAGCAATTCCAAGTAGCCTTTATTTTTTAAATTACGGTTTTGGTATAGTTCTTTATTCTGTATCTGCCACAAAGCTGGATGAGCTCTATAAGTCTCAATAAATTCTTTCAAAATCCCTTTTGGGACATTTCTTATGTCACCTTTTTCACTTTTCTCTTCACAATCATCATCGTTCAGTTCGGTTACTTGAGTCAATCTCAATTCTTCCTCCATATTAATATTAATATTATTTATTATTCACAAAAAAACAATAATATTATTATTGCACAAGAACAACCCGTGTCCAACCACGCAACAAGAAAGAACAACGCGACTACATAACCTGCGCGAAAACTACGTGCCCACTAACTATGTCTTGGGCAGGAACGTCGAGACATCCCCGAAAGAAATTAGTAATGCTGGAGCGTCATGTCACGCTTCACTAACACACAAATCTTTCCTTCGGGAATCCCCTTTCCGTCAGGAATAACGGTTTTCCTAGAGGAAAGAACGCTAGTGTATGGGTAGCTACGAGCGTCGTGTGAACAGGCCTTTACACGCGATTTTCTCGGAGCAAATTTATCTTAAACTCTTATAATCGCATAAACAGATATATCTATAAGTGGTTCTATAGTATAAACAAATGTCACAATATTATACCAACTCGTCATTGCTTTCTAAAGGGGTTCATATCGTATTACAATAAATAGAATCGAACTGATAGATAATGATGATTATTTCATCTTCAGAAATGTAATGTAAATAAAGTAAAAGATACTGATGATGAGTTAATTAAATTAGATTAATTTTGTTAAATTATTATTGAAGAAATAAACTTTTTATTTTTTTTAGATGTATATAGTTGTAGTTGTATATATATTTTTTTATATTTATACAGGTAAGTATCAATTTTGTTCACGTTTTTTTAACATAATAAATATATCGCTATTTTACCGCTTTTAAAAAAAAGTATTTTTTATCGGTATTGCATTCCTTAATTATAACTAACATATCATAAATTGTTATTTTTAACAATGTAATTATTAGTAATTCTTGACCTTATTAATTCATTTATTTTATCATTACTATAATTTTTAGTAATTATTTAATATCAATCATTAATAATAATTAATATTTTGTTGCATATTAGCAGTATTATATAAAAATATTTTTTAAATGTACCATCATCACACCTACGTGGTATTTTACTAAAAAAAATATTAATCGTGTTTTTTATGTTTATCAAATTTAAATCGAAATAAACTCAAAAATAATTATTTTAGGTAATTCATATACTAATTAATGAGTTATTAGAAAACCGGTATATTATATACTGATAAACAAAAAATAATGAGTGGTCAAAAATAAATACATTAGAAACGTAATCTATTTATTCATATGTGACATTTTTATGACATATAATAAATCGTTTCGATATTTCCACATACGAAGTCATATACGAAATGAATATCAAATTAATGTGCTATAATAATTTTATGGCCAATAAAAATACTATGAAAAAAACGAATAAGCTTTTCTAACAGAACTTAATTACATGTGTATAGGATTTATAAATTATGATGTGTATTCACCAAAAATTTTATATTGTTCAATTTGTATATTTATTTTCAAAAGCCATGATAAAAAACATTTATAACAAAATAGGATTTATATATTATGATGTAGAGTGGGCGAGGCTCAAAAAGGTATGTCGGTGAAAAGGTCCACCACCGACATCTCAAAAACAAGTGAAGTTAAAAATTTTTCACAACAATATTTGAAAGTAGAGGAAAAAAGATGTAGAACCAGCCATCATCTTGATTCTTACGATATCGAGAGATAAATGGCAATGTTTGAAAATCCATAACAAAAGTTTTTTTTTTTCTTTGCTAGTTCTTTTCGGTTGTGAGCACTGTTGTTTAGTTTACGACACCTTAATATAATTTTTAAGTCTACGTTGTTTAAATATCTGATAGGATTTAATGTTTTTTTTTTTAAATTAAACTTTTTTAATAAAAGGACCATCTGAGCGTTTGCACTTGCACAGGTAGCAGCAATAAAAAATATATAAATTGTAAATAAAAAATTTCAAGAGATAAGTTAAATAGTTATTTCAACTCTGTTGATTCTGATGAAATTCCAGATCAAGGTTTTATACTGTTATCTCTGTAAAAAATGAACCCATAAATTGTATATTTTGCATTGGTGAAATAATATAGCTATTATCTCCTAAAATTCATTTAACATTAAAAATAAGGCATTCGACCTGTTTGCTTCTGTCTGTCCATTTTAGCCCGCCGATGGAATAAAAAGGACCAGGTGACTAATTTCTACAATGATGAATTAGCTGAAGGTTTTACTGAACATAGTCAAAGAGTTGTTTCTTTGATATGTGTTATTTGTTGTGATATTATTGGTTTGGTTTTCACAATATAATAGCTCCAAGTCAAATTGGACCTTTGTGCCTCGCCTTACCCTATATCTAAATTTGTTCATCATGTTTTTTTAAGCAACTTTAATGTGTACTGCAAGCACATATTATGTTAAAGTAATACTTTCTACTGAATCCTTATAGAGAACGCCGCAGAAATGAAGTTAAAGCTAAAGTTCTGAAAGTTTTTTTTAAAAAAGCGTATTCAAGTTTTGAAATAGATTGCTCGTCGCAAAGGAATGCAACTTGTTTGAGTTGACCACTCGATATAAATTTATTTTGAACTACGTCGCAATACGTGTATACTCATTTTCAATTCGCATTTTCAGTTTAAACTTTGAAGTACTGGCATTTTGTTTTTTTTTATCTTAGAATAAGATATTTGATATTTATTTTATCTTGTGTACGTAATTGTATTTTAGTCGTTGGATGTAAAGTTTTCTCGTGGTCTAGTGGTTAAAGTTATGGGATTTGACTCAGAGCTTTCAGGTACAATGCCCTCCGATTGCTGATGTCAAGCAGGAGTGACATCAGTTTTCACACATATATATATATATATATATATATATATATTTAATTATATTCAAAAAACTTAAATAATTTCAATTAAAATAGGGCAACCGATGCATTGCCTTCTAATAGACATTGGTAAAAGATACTCGTTAGAAAAAAACATGATCATCACAACGAATTAAATAATGTCGAATTTTGATTTCTGATCAAAAAAAATGGCTCGATTCTGCCCTGGCTTCACTTCGATGATATTTTGGCGAATTTAGAATAAAATGCTCAACTACAAAATAATAATTTTTAGAGATTTTACGTTAAAATAATTTAAAGCTGAAATACTGTGGAAACTACTATCACTAATTTTATTTTTTTTTTTTTAGAACAGCAATTAAAACTTAAGACTTCTATATGCTGTCCTTATGAAGCAACCGAATGGTTGTCCTACCTATATTTTCTAAATTTATTTTTCTTTACAGAATGCAGTAACAGAAATATGTATCCAAGTAGAAAATTGGTATTCCCTTCAATAAAAAAATGCATCGCAGAAATTGTAATGAAAAATAAATTATTTACTTATTTGCCAACAAAAAATCTTGAGTGTATAGATGCAATATTGTACATTGGAGCACTTAATTAACTAAATTAACTAATTGAAATAATTTATCAAGTTTCAATAATCTATCACTTTAAAATAATGAACGCGATTGCAAATATTTAATATCTCTTCCTGATGATATTTTACATTTCCATCTTTCCGAGCTACAGAGAAAAATAAACAATTCTGGAATAAAAGCAAGAATACATTTCAGATATCCATTATGCTCGTTATAGCAAATTGATACAGTTTTTCTATTACAAGATATTGCATTATTCACTATTCTCAGAAATAATTAAAATTATTCATCAGAAAATTATTATGTACAATAGTATCTTATTTAAGTGTGTAATGTAATATAAACCCAGGGTTGATTTAAAACGTGACTAATGGTAAAAAGGTTTTCAATATACGAAATAATGAGAATAACCAAGTTTTCGATATAATATAGTTTAGCTTAACGAAAACGATCTTGTATGAAATACATGGGGATTATATTGCTCCGATTCATGCATTTATTTGCTCAGCTAAATCCTATAAAATTATTTCCATCAGATTTATTCGAACTTGCTATGGAATCGTTTATGACCGAAAATACTATTTTTGCAGTATTGCTTATGTATACACACATCGAATTAAAATGTACCATAAATCGGAATATTCTTCAGCAAAGAGAACTTAATATGAAAACTATATGAAATATGTGGATGCAAAAAATGCATGAGGAAAATAAACAAAAAATTGAATATGAATCAAAATGTGTTCGACTCGATCAACTGTAAATAAAACTGCATATAAAATAATTTAATATCTAATATTTGATTCAAGATATTTAATGTAAAATATATTGTACAATATATTTTTCCCTAAAATTTAAATTTATGAGCCCCGTTGCTCATGTTAAAGCAGAGAAAACTTTACATACAGTTTACAGTTAATAAAATTTTCAATAACTAAATAATATTTAACTTTTTCTAAAGTGAGTGCTATATCATAACAGTATGTATCTTCACAATATTATCTCTGACATCTTGCATTTTGCATAGGTAAATACACTCAATATAAATGTTATTGTAGTTTTGGAATTCTATATTCTCGCTGTGAAGAATTTACTAGAAATGTGATATTCAATATTACACACACACACACACATATATATATATATATATATATATATATATATATATATGTATATATATGTATATTTATATTTCAGCTATGATCTATTATAATGTAAATTCTTTATCCTTTATTTTAGAACATAGCACCTGTGGTTGCCAATTGTTTCATGTTGATAACACGATTATTAGGGATAATTCTAGTGATATATTTTTAGCGGAAATTAGATATAAATACAGCTTGATACCG